CCCCCCCCCCCGCAACCTCAGTCTCTCCATCTATAAAATGGGGATGGTAACATTTCCCTCCTGGAGCTGTTCTAAAGAACCCACCGAGGACGGTGTGTATCGTGGAGCTCGTGTGCACCAGAACTTTTCACACACGCGCTCTCTCTCCTCCAGCCCTCCGGGAAATCCTATATCGTCTCCATTTTCACAGATGAGGAAATGGATGTTTAGGGAAGTTGAGTGACTTGGCCAGGGTCACACAGCTGGGAAAGATGCAGAGCCAGGGTTGATAGCTAAGTCTGGCCTCCCCTAATCCCCCTCTCTGTGATCCCATGCTGGAGAGTCACGTAGGAATGGAATGATGACAGTGGGGAAGGTTGAGGTTTTGGTCTGGTCCAGAGAGCAGAACACTCCGCCATCTCTTACGGTCGGGGTGCCGAGCAAGCCAGTTGTTGAGGGCGAGTGTCCTTGTCCGCTTTTCCCTAGGCCCTGTGACCGAGATTCCCGACGACGAGAGACTGAGAAGACAGGAAGGAGGGGCGGGCTCCTGGCAAGGCATCCGCTCCTGAACTGAGTCCTGCAAAAGGTCCGCGGGAGGGAGGGTGTGATGGAGGGGATGGGCAGGGGAGGGGAGGGACCCTGTGTGGCATGGGAGGCAGGGCCCTGGGTGGAAGGGATGAGGGGCTGGTTATCTCCGAAGTCGGTTGCCACCAGTGTGCACTTTCCGTATCCTCTGCGGTGCCTTGGGAACATTCCACAGTGGACACGGGCCCCTCGGAGACGCTGCTTCACTCCCTGGGAGCTCACAGCACCAGCGATCTTTGGCTTTCTCATCTCCTCATACCCTCTGAGCCCCCACTTGTCCTGAGCCCTATTTCCTTACCTCACCCCAGATGGAGAAGGAGGAGGAGACGACCCGGGAGCTGTTGCTGCCCAACTGGCAGGGCAGCGGCTCCCATGGGCTGACCATTGCCCAGAGGGACGACGGCGTCTTTGTGCAGGAGGTGATGCAGAACTCCCCTGCGGCCCGCACTGGGGTGGTCAAGGAGGGTGAGTCACCTCAGGGTGCGGGCTGGGTGCTGGAGAGGGGTGGAGGACGGTGGCGGACGGAAGGGCACGGTCCCAGTGGCATCAGGATGGTCGGTACCTGAGCCCTGCCCTCCTCTGCCCCCACTGGGGCAGGCGGTGATGTAGGGCGGTGGAGACATAGTCCCTAGTCCTCACTCCACTGCTCACGAGCTCTCTCACTTCGGACAAATTAGTTGGCCTCCCTAAGCCTCCGTTTCTTCATCTGTGCAACGTGTATTATGGTGTCGGACATGCGTTAAATTAAGTCAGTTCGAGGGCCCAGTGCGTGGTGGTTGTGTGTTGTTTCCCTGAGACCCTGGGTGGGGGTCTCACCAGCTTCTCGCTCCTCCCTGTTCAGGGGACCAGATTGTGGGTGCCACCATCTACTTTGACAACCTGCAATCAGGCGAGGTGACCCAGCTGCTGAACACCATGGGGCACCACACCGTGGGCCTGAAGCTTCACCGCAAGGGCGACCGCTCCCCTGAGCCTGGCCAGACCTGGACCCACGAAGTCTTCAGCTCCCGAAGCTCCGAGGTGGTTCTGGTGAGTGCCTCGGCGGCTTTTCTGCGCCCCGAGTTCCCCCTGGCCATGCCGACCTGCTGGCCACTTCCTGAGCCTTGTGCCTGCCTGCCGGACCTCTCTTGTGGTTACTTTCCCTACTTTCTGTCTTGTGCGTTCTCTGATGAGCCAGTCTGTGTGTTCCTGTTTGTGTCTGGTGTGCGGCTGATGTTGCCCTGAAAGTCTCCCGTCAGACTCTTCAGAGCCCCACAGCGTGGGAACCCACTCACGCTGTCTGGACCTAGATGCCAGGAGGAAGGTCAGCTGTTTTGTAAGAATCTTCGAAATAGCCTCACAGGTGCCTCACAGGCAGCAGTTTTCAACTTCCAGAGGCCTGGACTCGTCTGTGAGTCAGAGGCTGGGCGGCAAAGTGCCTGAGGGACGTTTCTTTGCTCCTTCTGCCGGCTTCTTTATTTAACACATAATGGGTCCTCAAAGTGACAGTGTTAACCCCAGCACAGAGTCTCAACAAATGCTTTCTTGAGAGGTCCCTGAGAGAATTCCCCCTGCCGATTAAGTAAGCCAGTGAGTCGAGAGGATTAAGTAAGCCAGAGTGAGTCGAGAGTCGGGAGCCTAAAGGGTGAAGTCCACACAGAGATGGTCACCCAGGAGGCATCCCTGGGACTTGACACCCATCTGAATCTAGAATGGATTGTAAATCTTTCATCCACACAGCGCAGCCGTCTACCCGGCTCCTCTCCCCATGGCTTTTGCTTCCCGGAGTTTCCCCGAATAATTTGTTTTCCTCCTGTGAGGTGGCCGTCAGCCCCTTTCTTCAGCCCCCTTTGCTCTGCCCCAGGAGGCTCCGTGGGTCTCCGTTCTGGTCCCAGCTTCTTTGGGAAACAGGCAGCCATGTTGTCGGCTGGGCTGTGGCCGGGCGTCTGTGACTCGGGCAGACCCTGCTTCAACCTCTGCCGGGCGTGTCTTTCTGCAGAGCGGGGATGATGAGGAGTACCAGCGCATCTACACCACGAAGATCAAGCCTCGGCTGAAGTCGGAGGATGGCGTAGAAGGGGATCCTGGGGAGACCCAGAGCCGCACCATCACAGTGACTAGAAGGGTCACGGCCTACACTGTTGATGTGACAGGCCGTGAAGGTGCCAAGGACATCGACATCAGCAGCCCTGAGTTCAAGATCAAGATTCCACGGCATGAACTGACTGAAATCTCCACTGTGGATGTGGACACCCACCCTGGCAAGACAGTGATCAGACTGCCCTCGGGCTCGGGGGCAGTGTCTCCGACCACAGGCTCTGTCGTGGACATCCGAGCGGGGTCCGTTTCCGCTTCGGTACCAGAGCTCCAAGGTGCTGGCCACTCGAAGCTCCAGGTCACCATGCCTGGGATAAAGGTGGGAAGCCCAGGCGTCAGCGTCAGTGCGAAGGGCTTGGACTTGGGTGGCAAAGGAGGGGCCCAAGTTCCAGGAGTGGACATTTCGTCTTCTCTTGGGGGTGGGGCAGTAGAGGTGCAGGACCCATCTCTTGAGAGTGGCAGTAATGGGAAAATTAAAATTCCCACTATGAAAGTGCCAAAATTTGGTGTCCCAACGGGGCCTGAGGGCCAGGTGCCAGTGGCAGGGTTGAGTGTTTCTGCACCTGAATTCTCTGTGGGGCACAAGGGAGGCAAGCCAGGCCTGACCATTGGTGGGAACATCCAGACCCCAATACAACATGCCAGTATTGAGGGGCTTGAGGGGAAGCTGAAAGGCCCCCAAATCACTGGGCCATCACTTGAGACTGGTCTAGGCCTGAAAGGTGCCAAGTCACAGGGGAGCATCGGGGTGGATGTCTCTGTGCCCAAGATTGAGGGCACCATCACTGGCTCCAATGTGGAAGTTCAAGCCCCTGACGTTGATATTCACGGGCCTGGGGGCAAACTGAATATGCCCAAGATGAAAGTTCCCAAATTCTCTGTATTAGGTTCTAAGGGAGAGGGAGCTGGCATTGATGTGACAGGTGCAGTGACTCTTCCTGGGGTCTCTGGGAACATCAGTCTGCCTGAAGTTGCTGCCGGGGGGCTGGAAGGGAAGGTGAAGGGTACGAAAGCCAAGACTCCTGAAATGATTATTCAAAAACCTAAAATCTCCATGCAGGATGTGGATCTGAGCCTTGGGTCTCCTAAACTGAAAGGAGATATTAAGGTTTCTGCGCCTGGGGTGCACGGTGATGTTAAAGGCCCTCAAGTGGCAGTGAAAGGCACCAAAATGGACATAGAGACACCTAGCCTTGAGGGGACTTTGACAGGACCCAAGCTTAGTAGTCCTTCTGGGAAAACAGGCACCTATGGGATCTCTATGGCAGATGTAGACTTAAATGTGACTGCCCCTAAAGTGAAAGGGGGTGTGGATGTTGTACTCCCAAAAGTAGAAGGGAAAGTCAAAGTCCCTCAAGTTGACATCAAAGGACCCAAAGTGGACGTCAGGGCCCCAGATGTGGAAGTGCATGGCCCAGAATGGAACCTGAAAGTGCCCAAGTTCAGTGCTCCAGGAGTTGGAGGGGAAGGCCCAGATGTAGATGTGAAACTACCCAAAGGAGATGTCAGTATTTCAGGGCCCAAGGTCAACGTGGAGGCCCCAAATGTCAACATAGGGGGCCTGGGAGGCAAACTTAAAGGCCCTGATATTAAGCTGCCTGAAGTCAGTGTCAAGACACCAAAGATCTCCATGCCTGATGTAGACTTACATGTTAAAGGCCCAAAGGTAAAAGGAGAATATGAGGTAACATCCCCAAAACTTGAAGGAGAACTGAAAGGCCCCAAAATGGACATTGATGCCCCGGATGTGGATGTTCATGGCCCAGACTGGCATCTGAAGATGCCCAAGATGAAAATGCCCAAATTCAGTGTTCCAGGGCTCAAAGCGGAGGGCCCAGAAGTGGATGTGAATCTTCCCAAGGCTGATGTGGACATTTCTGGGCACAAGGTAGATGTTAGTGGTCCAGATGTGAGCATTGAGGGACCAGACGGGAAATTGAAGGGACCTAAGTTTAAGATGCCTGAGATGAATATCAAAGCCCCGAAGATCTCCATGCCAGATGTGGACTTACATCTGAAAGGCCCTAAGGTAAAAGGAGAATACGATGTCACAGTGCCAAAAGTTGAAGGTGAGATTAAAGTTCCTGATGTTGAACTTAAAAGTGCCAAAGTGGATATTGATGCTCCAGATGTTGATGCTCACGGCCCAGATTGGCACCTGAAGATGCCCAAAATGAAAATGCCCAAGTTCAGCATGCCTGGCTTCAAAGCAGAGGGCCCAGAAGTGGATGTGAACCTGCCCAAGACAGACGTTGACATCTCAGGACCCACAGCGGACATTGAAGTTCCAGATGTGAATATTGAAGGACCCGAAGGAAAGCTGAAGGGTCCCAAGTTTAAGATGCCTGAAATGAATATTAAGGCCCCAAAGATCTCTATGCCTGATGTAGATTTGCATATGAAAGGTCCCAGGGTAAAAGGAGAATATGATGTTACAGTGCCAAAGCTGGAAGGGGAACTCAAAGGGCCAAAAGTAGACGTCAGTGCCCCCGATGTTGACGTTCATAGTCCTGAATGGAACCTAAAGATGCCCAAGATGAAAATGCCCAAATTTACCATGCCCAGCCTCAAAGGGGAGGGCCCAGAAGTGGATGTGAACCTGCCAAAGGCTGATGTGGACATTTCGGCACCCAAGATAGATATTAGTGCTCCAGACTTGAGCCTTGAAGGACCAGAAGGAAAGTTGAAAGGTCCAAAGTTTAAGATGCCTGAGATGCACTTCAAAGCCCCTAAGATGACTCTGCCAGATGTTGACTTGGATCTTAAAGGACCCAAAATGAAAGGAAATCTAGATATGTCTGCACCAAAAATAGAAGGTGAAATGAAAGTTCCAGATGTGGACATCAAAGGACCTAAGGTAGACATTAAAGCACCAGATGTGGAAGTCCAAGGTGCAGACTGGAGCCTGAAAATGCCCAAGATGAAAATGCCCAAGTTCAGCATGCCCAGCCTCAAGGGGGAGGGCCCAGAAGTGGATGTGAACCTGCCCAAGGCTGACATTGACATCTCTGGACCCAAGGTGGACATTGAAGCCCCGGACGTGAGCCTTGAAGGTCCAGAAGGGAAGCTGAAAGGCCCTAAGTTTAAGATGCCTGAGATGCACTTCAAGGCTCCCAAGCTCTCCATGCCTGATGTGGACTTACACTTGAAAGGTCCCAAAGTGAAAGGGGATGTGGATGTGTCTGTGCCCAAGATAGAAGGTGAAATGAAAGTGCCAGATGTGGACATCAAAGGCCCCAAAGTGGACATTGATGTCCCAGATGTGGATGTTCATGGCCCAGACTGGAACTTGAAAATGCCCAAGATGAAAATGCCCAAATTTAGCGTGCCTGGCTTCAAAGGCGAGGGCCCAGAAGTGGATGTGAACCTGCCCAAGGCTGACGTTGACGTATCTGGCCCCAAGGTGGACATTGAAGCCCCAGATGTGAGCCTTGAGGGCCCAGAAGGGAAACTGAAGGGCCCCAAGTTTAAGATGCCTGAGATGCACTTCAAGGCTCCCAAGATGTCCATGCCTGATGTGAACTTGAATCTTAAGGGGCCAAAACTGAAGGGAGATGTGGATGTGTCTGTGCCTGATGTAGAAGGTGAAATTAAAGTGCCAGATGTTGACATTAAAGGGCCCAAAGTTGACATCAGTGCTCCAGATGTGGATGTTCATGGGCCAGACTGGCACCTGAAGATGCCCAAGATAAAAATGCCCAAGATCAGCATGCCAGGTTTCAAAGGAGAGGGCCCAGAAGTGGATGTGAACCTGCCCAAGGCTGACATTGATGT